AAATGGTATGGAGACAAAAGACAATTTCCACAGGGTAAGAAAGAAGAGTCATCCCATTGCACAGATTCTACAAATGATGAAATGTCTACTCACCCAAATTTAAATTGTAACGTTCACTTAATCAGAGTATGCCGCTCATGGCTCACAGACCCTATTCTGAATTTCAAAGTGTTAAAAACCAATCAAAAACATTTTAAAAAGGTAAGAGTGGGAAATAGAAAACAGAATTTCAGTTTTAGTGTCAGTTCAGTTCAGTCGCTTAGTCATGTCTGACTCTTTGCGACCCCGTGAATCGCAGCACGCCAGGCCTCCCTGTCCATCACCAACTCTCGGAGTTTACTCAAACCCATGTCCATCGAGTCGGTGATGCCATCCAGTCATCTCATCCTCTGTCATCCCCTTCTCCTCCTGCCTCCAATCCCTCCTAGCATCAGGGTCTTTTCCAATGAGTCAACTTTTCGCATGAGGTGGCCTAAGTATTGGAGTTTCAGCCTCAGTATCAGTCCTTCCAATGAACACCCAGGACTGATCTCCTTTAGGATGGACTGGCTGGATCTCCTTGCAGCCCAAGTTTTAGTCTAAGTCCCTTGAAATTAGACTTTACTGGTGACTATACTGAAGAATCTGTCAGAGTACAGATATAAAGCAACCCTCCAATATAAATAATTCTGTGGTTCCTAATCTCAACAAAACACAAAACTTAAGTGTAGATTCTAGTTCTGTTACTTTCTAGGAGCCAAACAGAGCTCAGGGTAGTATTTTAAAGGTTACAGCACAAAACTGGCAAATTTACCATTCCAAAGGACAACTGATTTCATTTGTTCAGTGTTTCTGCATAGTATACAGACACCTCCAAAATCATTAGCAATGTCCTAGATTTTAAGGTGACTGATAGGTTCCAAGGCTTTTGTTTTATAATAATAATCAGAATAATATGTTCATTAAATTTTTATATTACATATCCCATAACTAACCACTTTAGTGACCTTGTGCTCACTTTGGATACAGAGAATCTCTGAGGCTGTTTCAAATGTACTTAGGTGAATTACTGGGTAACTATTAGGGGTCACTTGGGGATATTATTGAATACAAGAACAGTCACATCTCAAAGACATTTGGTGATAAGCCCACAGGTGACTTCTCAGGGCATACTGAAGTTATTACAGGGTATTACTGGTTTAATGTAAATTTAAATTTAGGTGGCAATGTTTTGTTTGTCCTGTTATTTTGGCCACCTCTTTCAAACTATCATTGCAGATAATTAAATTTCTAACTTATGTACTCTAACTTCCAAACTCATTATGTTCCTAAAAAGGAATCTCTTCTTTCCTGAGACTTCTATCCCAAGTCTCCTTCCTACTCTCAGCCCAACCCGAAGAGCTATCAGCAGTCTTTAAATGCCTCAGATCTAAGGGGAAAAAAATCAACAAATAACTTTAACGGACAAATTAAAACAGCCATAATATGTGGATGGCCTACAGAATAGTTCATTCTGACCGCATCATGATCATAGAGGATAACAGGGAAGGAATTCCGTATTTGTTTTATGTTCGTATATGGAGTAAACTGGTATACAGCTGACCAAACACAAAACCCTAGCCTCCCAAGAAAGAATGCAATGAGAACAAAATATTCCTATCCTACAGTTATAAATTACAGTGTTTTACTTTTTATTGTGAATTTCCAGTGGTACTTCTCCATTACCACAACACTTCATAACCACTTAATGAGGCCACATTTATTCCATCATACTCTACATGTTCAGAAGACAACATGTATTATTTCCTACTATTGAGAGCTGCTTTGTGTGCATTAAATACCTTACCTCATTTAATATTCACAACTCTTAGGTAGGTGAAGATGAGGAAACAGACTCAGAGACAAGAAATAATTCATCCAAGGTCATACAAGCAGTCTTTATATCATCCTGTCTCTAAGTTCTTAATTACATGCTATGAATAATAAAATTTCAAATACATGTAAAAGAGGAAAATATAGGCCAAAACATTTAAATTGAAAAGAAAAATGTGTTCATTGCATCAATGTGTGTGTTTTTTTTTTTTAAGAAAATCCTACACATTCCAACAAGTTTTGGTACTCTTGCCAAAAAAATAAAAAAGCAAATAGATTCCAACTAGTCTATACTTTCATTTATATTTAGAATATGAGCTGGGCATGAGTATGTAATGAATATATATGTGTGTCTCTCTGTGTGTATAACACCCACATTATTCATAAGCTCCCAAAAATGTGAAAAGTTTGTTCCAATCCTTCTCTATTTTGTCTACTTTAAGAATTCTTTGCAATATGCTTATGTAAATACTGATTTTAGCTGCTGTTCTCATTTCTCGAATCTTCAGCTTATAAATGGATTGGAAAAGTGACAGACCTAAGCAGACATCTATGAAACACAAAACCAAGAAGGTATAAACAAATACAATTTCATCAAAAACAAAAGTCTATTCTTCAAAGCCTTTAACTGACTACTACTGATTAATGAAAAGAACTGAAGGGAAGTAAAACATACTGGCTGTGGGTAAGGCACACACACACGTGTACACATAGGCCTGCAAGTGCATCCAGTTACGTGGGCATCTACTTTATCAGCATACATGATGATCAGCATTCTACCTTAGTAACTAAAAGTTCTACAGGAGCATACAGTCTAAATCAAAGAAGATTCTGAAGTTAGAGTAATGTTGGGGCGAGGGAGAGTATTTAAGAAAACAGTTTCGGGTTGTTAAACTGAAGAGGTGAGTGCTTTCAATTTTCTTATACTAGGATTCACACTATGGTTCAATGCATTAATAGCTCACTGACTCTGCAGGTAATTTGGTTCTGCCCACACTTCAGAGTGATGCTGAAGAGGATTAAGGATAAAGTCGAAATATCACCATTCCACTTACCTGATGCTGAGCCTTCACTATACACTTAGGTAAAGGTCATCATGACATCATAGATCATAAAGCACAGTGCAAAGAATACATTGGCATGAAATCACTAAAAATTGTGAATATACTATACCACTTAGAAGTGTGAAACTCACCAATGCTTTAGTTAGTACCTGAAATTAAATATTACATGTGATATTGCTGAGATAGAAACTGAAACAGAAGATGCTTTTTGATGAGGACTTGGCAATAACAACAATGGATTTTGCACTTTCATAACATGATAATCCCATTATTGGAAACACATTCTATGTAGAACATTTTTGTCATACTTGAGAGCTGAACTTACATCTGGTATGTATCTCTTCCATGTAAGCTAATAATACTACAGATTTTTATATATAAGCAAAGTAATATTAAGAATAATTTTTCCAAAATAAGTAAAGAAAACCTTTTATACTCATCCAGCACTGTGTAAGTGTAAAAATTATTTGAGATTTATAACTGCAAAAGACTCTTTATTCATAAGAACCTATCATTAGAGAATTAAAATAAACATTCCTGGAATTAGAAAAGTAAGTGACCAAAAGCATAATAAAATTCTCAGTTCTTTTAGAGGTGACTTTCTTCTTTGAGAGTGCTCTTACTGACAATAATATATATATATATTTGAATGCTCAGTCTGGAAGTAATCAGAGGCTGAGTCAGTGGCATTGGCCTCCTTCTGCTGAAGAAAGTAAAGAGGGGGATTTAGTTTTTGGATAGAGAATAAACATTGGCATGCTCCAGATTTTACTTCCAGCATCTCAACCCACATCCAGCCTGGTGTGAAGAGATGGCAGATGGGACTACTTCTGTTATTTCGGCTGCTGAAGCAGGATCTCGTTTCAGCATCCTGCTTGTTTCTGTAGGCATGAATATTCAACCACAATAAAGAATAAGGATAAGTGTGCTGACTGTATGAAGCAGGTACCAAGAAATCATCAACCCTTTCTCTTTGTATCATAGGCTAAGACCAAAAAAAAAAAAAAAATTCACATTTACTAAATGCCACTTCATCTAAGCTTGGAAAAGACTTATTATTCAATGAAATGATGCTTGTTTTCATGGATTTAACGTAAATGTAAGGAGAGAAATGTGTAGGCAGAAGAAAACCAAAGTAATTAGCATTCTAGGGGGGAGAAATTTAAAGCCAACGCAACAGAATCAGTAATTATTTTCCACTTTATTTTCATGATTTCATTATTTTCCCTGAAAATGCTGAGCAGATATTAGAGTATCAGTGTGTTCATCATTCAGAACATAAATAAGATTCCTTCAAATTCTTTTAAATACCACAACAAATGTCTACATGGGCATGTTATCCTACTGTGTAAATAACGTTTATGTGTAATTCTTAATTACTTGTATCTTGAAAAGCATTACTGAACCCAAGAAGGATAATTTAGCTATAGATAAAAGGAATGGAAGTGACAATTTCTTCATGAATGAGAAATATTGGGATAAGCCCTGAGGTGTATCACCATCCACACACTTCCCAAAGGACAGAGAAAAAGGTCTTAAAATTAAATAATATATCTATAGTCAATAAAATCAGGATTTTGATGGCTGTTGGGAAAAAAATCTAAAGGGCACCTACTCAGACTGTGAGGGAAAGCATACATTCACCTCTCAAAAAAACTAAAATATGGCAATTCATTGTATAAGTGGGGCAGTTCTTCAACGGATCTTAAAGTACATATATACCTCACTGCATAAATTGAATTCCATCTTCCACTTGACACTTCTCACCAAAAAAACAATTTTTCAGGAAAGGTGGCTCAAGTTAAGCAGGATTCCCTGTATCTCCTTACTCTGCCAGGTGAGGGGCAAATGTCCTGGGTGCTAGAAACCAGACACATTTTTGAGACTGACTTGTGAACCCTAATGCCCAGCAGGTGATGTCTTTTAAAAATAAAATAACTCTTAGTAAAAGGATGGACATCAGTCTGCTCTTCAGGACTGAGAGGGAATTTCCTGGACTTTTTTTCCACATCCTAATGAGTATATATTACACAAGAAAATGAATGCCAGCGCGAGGCACACATGTGGAAGTTGAGATAAACTTACGAAGTAGCCTGTTCCCAAGCTGGAAGGAGCTGAACTCTGCAAGAAAGCATAAAAACAAAGTGGAAAATCAGCAATGGTTTTTAACACGTTCCAATCCACACAGCTCATTACCAGTTCCTTGCAGGCTTTTCATCACGACACCACATCGCCTGTGTATGCGGCCCCTTGTCATCCGCTACTGATACAGACACTGTGGTGCTTAATTCTCCCCTTTACATCTCTCAACAACTCAGAGACGCTAACGTGCTATTTACTGAATTCCAAGCTTCTGCGGTGGACGTAATTGCCAATTTATTTGACAGGCAGCTGGGTAATGAATTAATGATGGCATTTCGCCCTGCACTGAGACTAAACAGACACGCATCAGCCTGCCTCCCTGACTTGCTGACATTCAATGCCCTGGTCTCAAGCTACTCAGTTTTGTGGCCGCGAAGGGGCAGGCGAGAGGAAAGCGCCCAGACTGACTTGAAAATAAAAAGCCCAGTGGGTTTGGATGACTTTTCCAGTGTGTGACCTACTTGCCAGCTTATTCCCTCAAGGCACCAGTTAGTACACACAGAGCGCTTTTCAAAACTGAGACATTTTGTAAACATAATTAGTAGACTAAAATGCAAAGAATGTGTGGGTAAAGGGAAGTAGTGAAAAGCACCATTCTTCCAAAGGTTTTAGTCACGAAAGTTATCAGTTTAGGTTTCCATAGTTCTCACACATGGGGAACAAAAAACAGTGATGCTGAAAGGTACCTGAGGCATCACTTCATAGGGGAAAGAGACCCAAGAAAAGAACTTGGTTTGAATTTTAAACTTATCTGTTTGTATTGTTTTTTTCCCCCAAAACCTCTCATTACAAATTCTTTAATTTGCGGTGTCCTCTTTATGAACGAGAGAGGCCCCAGATAAGCTGGAAACAAAAAGAACGCCAACACTGAGACAGTCCTCAGGTCTCAGCAAGGAATCCTTGTACCAGCGAGGCCTCTCCCTGCCGGGCTTGGGCTGGTTGTTACACCTTCCACCTACAGAGAACGGACTTCCACAGTGATGCAACAGCTACTTGGGTAACCTCTAACTGTTCCATCTAAATGCCTTGTCCCTGCTCTGCAAACCACAGGTAGCAGGTACCATCTGCTTGACTCATCCTGGTTTTCCTAGCACTTAGCTCAATCCCTTGCACATAGGAGGCATTTAGTAAGTATTAGTTGAATTAATGTATAAATAAATCGATGAATGCACGGACTGTAAGTGGATGGGACTCAGGTGAACTGAACATCTCCAAAAATCATATCTCCAAATATAGATATGATTCTTGATTTTACACCAGTTTTGAAAAAGAAATAACGGTGCTATAAGTACAAAGACCATCTGCATCAAACAAGGACATGATGCTCCAGGGCATTCCTAAATGCAGCTTCTGGAGCAAAACTTTCTTTCCCTCAGTGTTCCAGACAGGCTTGGGGGAAGAAAGAACCTAGGTATGTGATCCTGGACACTGGACTGGATTTTCAAAAATCTTGCTGCATTTGTGATCCTATAAACGGTACGTAGGGAGAGCAACAGTAGTCATGGAGACGGCTCCTCAGAGCAATGATTAGCCATGTGATGGCATCACCTGTTTTCAGCACCCACCCACCCGCACCACGGAACACACGAAGGCAAAGGCAAAGTTAAATCTCCACCAGCCTGGAGTCGTGCCCCTGGGAGACAAACTCATTTTAGGATGAGTTACTCAGAGAGAGCATGGGATTTGTTTATTTCAGTGTTTTTTCCCCCTTTCTGCAAATGTATTTTATCCCAGAAGCAGAAGGACCCCTTCAAGCCCATCTCCCCACCCCCACATACATATCATCTTATTGTATACCAAGAAAATGACATCCTTCAGGTCCCGGGAAGCTCTGTTATACTCATTTTGCATATATATTGTACATTACTCAGGGAGCTGGGTGGAGAAGAGAGCTTTGTTGTGCATATTTGTTCTGGCTATTGTTTATGCAGGTCTGACTGAATGAGGGAACAGTGGGTATCATTTCAATTTCTGATGTCAACATCAAATTACTTATTTAATTTCATGCCTGGCGAAGCATTGTATAGCTACACGCAGAATCATTTCACTTCATTTGTTATGCTGTGTTTTCGTGGCGATTGGCTTGCCTTCCAACTGACAGCTTTAATTACGACATGAATTTGATTGCACTGCCGAGGAATTAACATAATGCAACAAAGCATTTAAGAACCCTGCCTTACAACACCCCCCTCACAGACACACGCATGCACGCACACACAAGCACAGACAGACACATGAAGGAATAGACACAAGATCCTCACGTACATTAAAGGTCTAATGGAGTTTCAACTTTTGCTAGAAAGCATATAGAACCAAAGAGTCAGAGGCTACCCACATTTGGACTCATCATTTTTTTTTCAATAAAAAGATTTGTGGCATTCAGCTATAATTTCTGGACCTAGCAGAAAAGTTCATAGAAAAACCCTTCTAATCTACTTTGCCAAATGTCCATGGCGTTGACATTTCCTCCCCTCTAACTCCTTTCTCCACTATATTTTTCTTGGGCGATTGCCAGCTCCCTTCAATCACTGCTGGAAAACTTGAACAGAAACGTTTCTGAAATAAAGTGATTTCTCCTTGGTCTAGTTATATGAGCCCAAGAATCTGCTAAGGCCCTGTGTTCAGTAGGATGCTACCCCTGGTCCTTCACCATCAGACAGAGACATAAGAGAGGTTCTGAGACCAGCAACAGGGCAGAGTCAGGGCTTCACTTGACAGTTCAGGTCACATACCACATGCCTCAGGCCTTGCCATCCAAAGGTCCAGAAAAGTCTCTGTCACTTATACTTAATCTAAGAATATATTTAAAAGCTGAAAATATTTGATAGTTTTAACATTTTTCCAAGTCACAAATTCCACGAACAACTTAAACCATTGGCAACAATAGATTATGCTACATTGTTGTGTTAGCAGCTCAGCCATGTCCAACTCCTTGTGACCCCAAGGAATGTGGCCCCACCAGACTCCTCTGTCCATGGGATCTCCCAGGCAAGAGTGGGTTGCCATTCCCTTTTCTCCAGGGGATCCTCCCGACCCAGGGATTGCTGGCAGATTCTTTACCACCTGAGCCACCAGAAAAGCCCCAGGTTATGCTATAAGAACGAAATAAATATTTAAAAATAGCTTTTTTTACTGTTAGAAATGTTTTATGTTTCTATAGCTATATGTTTACAGATGTGCATCTAGGAATTATTATTGTTTTCTCATGTTACAGAAAAGAGACAGACACCACAAAGGAAGGGCTCAGGAAAGCAGATAGGTGGTGATGCCCTGACCACTGAACCATTTGATGAAATCAAGTTGAATTTTAACTTTCTGTGCTTCCCCAATTTATAATGAGAGCAAGGGGCTTCCATTTTTGTTGCTTGGACAGAAACTGCATACATTGTCCAAACTATACGGCAAAAGTGGCCATAAAATCTAAAAAAGGATATAAGTCAAAATGAGGCTTGAAAAACTAAGTTTTTTCTAATGCAATAAATAAAAGCATCCTTGAATTTAGTAGCATTTGAAGTCACATCATATACACACGTTTAGGCAAATATGTTTGTTGAATGATGAAAAAGGCTTTGCTTTTATTTCTTTAAGAAATTCTTATTTCTTTAAGTGATAAAGTTGCCAACTCATTCATATTTTCAATGTATTAGGTAGAAATGAGAGGGATAGAGAGACTCAGAAAACAGAGTAAGATAAAGTATTTAGTGGTTTCCATGAGAAAACAAGAATACGAAGAAATTCCAGACAGCTGGCTATCGTATATGTGATTTCCAGGCTCATTATAAGCTATCTCCTGTTTAACATGGTCTTTTCATTTGTTTTATTGTTTTTTCCTAGATTTGACCACTGCTCCAGCAATCTCTGCAAATTACCTACCTCGAACTCATTACGTTGTAAAGAAGAGCTTTCTTACAAACACACTCTGCCTCAATCTCCAAGCTACATGGGCTGCAGGAATAGTAATGGGATGCATAGTTGAAAGACATTTTCCAGGAAGGAGAATGTTGCTGCTGACATTCAAGTCTGCCAGTGGATATTCATTAACTGCATGCTCATTCTACTCCTCTCATTGCCCCCCACCTGACTTTCTTTCCATATCTGTCACTAAGCTATCATTGAAGCTACTCATTAAACTCATGAAGTTAACATTTCTGTTTTAACATCTTACCGAGAACAAGGGATTTCAAAAATTGGTTATCCATCCAAAATAGATGTACTCCTTTCATTAGAGATCTACACAGAGAGGCCATGGCTACTATTACGGCTCCCTAAGCATGTGATGGATGTGTGCTTCACCCCAGAGGAAAATGTAAGCTCTGACCCTAGGGCTAATTTAAATACAGTATTTTAAAATTCTTCCAAATTATCATTTGTGTCTGACATCCCTGCCTATCCACCCTCATGTTATACTTTTTCTTCTTGGGAGTAAAAAGTAGAAGGATCATGCTAAGAATCACCTGGCCAAGTATATTTCTTACAAAGGTCACAAGACGAGTTCATTTATTTTCTACAGTGTTTTAGAAAACAATGACAATTAAAAGAACCTAAAATTTTAATCCTAAGAAATGTGCTTTGAAGATAAGATTACTGATAACTTACAAAGATGCAAAATATATTTAAATAGAGAAATGAGCCACTAGTGGAAGTAAAAATGTGGGCACAACTTGAAAAAACATCAGGGGTAGAAACGGTCACTTCCAAATTCAATTTTCAACCTGTTACAATCCATTTGAAATTGTTACCAGCTCTCATCTCTATTCAGCAGCCTTCTGGCTTTTCCCCCTAATTTCATTCTTGCTCTCAATTTTATCTGCAGCTATTCACATAAAAGGAAAAGTAAACATTTTAAAGTAAAAATTACAACATTGCTTCTAACACCTTTGAGAGGCTTTTTAAATACTAACTTATATGGTAGGTTAAATAGTGTCTCACTAAAATTATAGGGCCTTCCTGGAACCTAAGAATGTGATTGTGAGGGTTAA